GTCCAGCTATATGCTGCAGGCAAAGATAGGGCGGACCAGCTTTATGTTGAAGGCCAGGGGCGGACCAACTATATGTTGAAGGCTATTATGTGTATGTATTGTATATGTGTTATGGTATTGAATATTTTGAGGGGATTCACTAAACATTGGCTTACAGTTGTTGAATAACTGCTTTGTAGGTTGTTCATCCGACCGTGGAAAGGCTCACACATGACTGTATCAACATGGAAACATCAATAAAGTTTTATAGACTTCCACTAAGATACTCTTTTATATAATAACGAATTGTAATGTTTTGTAAGACTTATATTTTAAATAAATAAAAATGAAAATTTTGACTTTGAAATTCAGGACGTAACATAATTTTTTAAGGCATGGTTCAATCGTAGTAGGATCACGTACATTCCACATACAAAGTACCATGTTGATAAACCATAATTTTAGAAACGAGAGTGCGGAAATTAGGGATTTCATCTACAATGTTGACAAAGCATGATCAAAGTTGAGTGGAGACGAAGGGGTTTCTGGGAGCGTGTTGGTAATTGTTAGTTTAAGGGTTATTTATGTACATTACACCTAAGTAACATTAAATGAGCGCCAAAAATTAAAATACCAAATTACCCCCACATATGAAACATGTGATATGTCTTAACGGTTGAAAAGTCACAGTGTGAACAAAAAGGACAATTCATGCAAGTTTTGAAAATCATAGGGACCATGTTCGTCAAAATAAATTTGCAGAGACATAGTTTATGACATTTGGTAAATAATAAACACAATTCTTTTTTCTTTTTGTAATTTTGTCTTTATTTTATATAAAATAACGAGGTAAATTGTAATTTCATAAAAATTAACATGATAAAATTTAAAAGACAAAATAGATTGGGGTTAAATTAAGGTACCAAAACCACAACATACCTAATAAGGTACCAAAATTACAATAATTCATACATCTTTGAAAAAGGGAGATTGACTTATTAGAATAATTACATTTTCGTTTTGTTCACATCTGGGTAACTTTTTTTTTATACACATCTAGGTAGGGATGAGAATTTGGACCGAAAACCCGAACCGAACCAAAAACCGAACCGAACCGAATTAGACCCGAATAAGCAATTTGATTCGGTTTTCGGGTATCTATATAAGGCTTATTCGGTTTTCGGGTTATTCGGTCCGGGTTACCCGAATAAGGGCTTATTCGGTCCAAAAGGACCGAACCGAATATGAAAAGTCATATTTTTTTCCTAACACGATTGCTTATTCGATCTTCTTTTCTATTGATTGTTACCCAACAAAACCCACGTAATACACCAAAAAAAATCAACGAAATCGAATTCGATCATCCGTATTACACCAAATCGACAGTAGCGTATTACACCAAATCGACGAGTCGACGACATTACTCTTTGATCGATTGAGGTTTTTCTCACCCTTGCGACATTACTCTTTGATCGACGATTGCGGTTGTTGCCCTTGCGACTTGCGATAACATGGACTCATTGATCGATCATCACTAGTTCAAAGTTCAAACTTCAAAGTGCATTCACGATAAAAAAAAAAAAAAAAAAAAGTCGGACCTTGCGTCTGGAAAAAATAATCGTCTCCTCATCCTTGTTTTCTAGTTTCTAGTGTGATCAAACCCCATTCAAGTCATGGAAAATTAGGTTCCAAATCAAGAAACTCAAGTAAGTATTTGTATCTTAATCTACTACTCAATCTTTCAATGTGTTATTATGTATGTTACTCATTGAAATTTGAATGTGTTAATCTACTACTCAATCTTTTAATTTGTTTCTTTAAAAGATTTGTTATGAAATCATAAGCTACAAAAGTCATACAAATACAATATTTATAATCACATTCTAAATGTTATTTGGGTTATTCGGGTTATACGGGTTATTCGGGTTATTCGGCTCCTCAATCATCTTGTACATGTTATTTGGGTTATTCGGGCCGGAACCGAACCGAACCGAACCCGTATTGCTTATTTGGTTCGGTTTTCGGTTCATACAATTACCCTTATCCGGTTTTCGGTTTATTCGGGTTCGGGTCGGTTCGGTTCGGTTCCGACCCGAATAACATCCCTACATCTAGGTTACGAAAATGTTGGAAATGTTCATATATGACCATTATGATCGACTGTAGCAAGTTACAACCAATCATAATAGTCATATGTGAACACTTCCAACAAGTAAGTTATTTATATGTGTACAAAATAACAAAGTTACCCAAATGTGAACAAAACGAAAAAGTAATTACCAAGTCAATTTCCCTTTTAATTAAGGCGGATGATCATAATGGTTGTAATACTAATAGATACAATTAAATTTTTTTAAAACAATATTTATGGCCATTTATTAGCATTTAAATTGGCCACCAGCCATTTTTTGTTTTTTGATGTAAATAAAAGCTACTTCTAGTTTTGTATTTTAAATCTATTATAATAAATAATGATTTTGTCACATGTCATCTTCTCTTTCATTTGGACACATGACATTTTCTAGAATTTTTAGATTTTTCTATTTTCCACTTGTCATTTTATTGTATTTTTCATTTTATTAAATTAAAATTCCACATTTAATATGTAAGGTAATATATATGTAAGGTATTTATTAAAAAATGTTTATATATGTAATGTATTCAATACATTAAAGCCTCATTAATTTTAATAATTCAAAATTTTTCTCATTTTTCTTATAAATTCAAACTTTTTAAATTGTTAAAATTTCATATTTAATTTTTTTTAATTAAACTCATGTAATACATGAGTCTCACACCTAGTTCTTATTATATATGGAGCAAACTTCATTGTGATGTTCTTCTTCAAATTATTGGTCTATATCTCTTGTATTTTTACTCTCTATAAATTTTAATTTTTATTTAATATCTTAAAAATAAAATTCTATAAAACGACGATGTATTTTTTCTCTGTTAAATCTAGAGTTTTTTTTTTAACCAAAGTAGTGTATTTATAATAATAATTAAAACTCTTATGGTTCCAGTATTGATTATATTTCGGTTTTGATTGGTAGTATTTTATTTCGAAGAATACCCCTATCAAATAAAAAGATGATATTGACATAAATTCGTGGGAAAAAAAGGTTTGTGCAATCAAACCTGATTCGTTTAGAATAGTTTATCTCAATTCTCAAGAAGTATGATATGGATATCTTCTGGAAGAATGAATTTGGCTTATTAAAAAATATACTTGCACATGTATATCATGAAAAATGATTAATTGAAATTTCTAGAATGTGGATAAATATAAAAATATATTATAATAATGAGCACCTACAAAAAGATAGTAACTACTATTTTCTCTTTTTTATTTCATATTTCTTTTGCATTGAGTGACAGTTTCCCATTTTTCCAAATTCTATGATTCTAGTTCAATTCGGTAAAAGGGAATCTTTCGATTAGGTCCTGGTAACAGATAAATTTAACCAAAAAAATAGTAAGCATTTGCGTGTAGCTTAACCTGAAACACTTATTATTCAAGTTTAAATTTAAATTTGTTTAAAAATAATCAACATATTAAACATAAATAAATAATCACAAAAATAACCAAACAATAATATCTGGTATTCTATCACGAAATAGCCATTTTTAAACAGTTATCACAAACTATTTTGAAAAATAGACTTCACAAACAATTCCTTTATGAATTCTTTTTCATAAAAACCAAAAGAATAATGTGTGAAAACTCTTTTTCTTTTTGCAAAATTCTAATAAAGATGATTATAAAGCAACTCCACAAAATCCTCTGCCTTCACTTTAGTCATTTTAGTAATTATCCCTAAATATATTAATATATGGTGTTATTGAAATCTGAAAACTATATAACTTTTATGTGTGTTACCGGAAACTTTTTAAAAGTTTTAATTTTAAAAGTTTTAATTTACATAAAAACTAATGTTAAATGTTTCCATTAGATAAAAAAAATAAATAAAAATTGGTAATCGTAAAAACTGAGCAGCCCACCTAAACTTCGTCTACATTCCACTCTTCAACCATTGCTAAAACATAGCTCCAAATAACTAAAAGTTCTTCTCCCCCATTTCAATTTTAGCTAAAAAAACCAAGTCTTTTTCATGCATAAAAGAGTGAAATGGGATTGTGACATTTGTTCATTTTGTAGAAAAAATAAAAGGGGAATGATTAATGGGAAAATTTATGAAAGAAGAAACACGTTGATGATTATGTCTTGTAGTGTTGGGAAAGTATTATATGGGTTTTAAGCAAAGAATACCCACTTAATCATATCATACCTTAACTATTTTGATCATCATCTTTATGCATACATACAATACATACATTCACTTGTTCCATCAATATTCAAAGGAAAAAAAAACATGTACCCATGCATCACATACATGATACATACATACATACATACATACATACATACAAAGAGGCTATTGCTTTTGTTCCAACAACCTCTAATTGTAATCCACTGTTTCAAAATGGTCACTAATTTCTCTACCTATTCAAGGGTAAAATTGTCAACTTGTATTTATGATTTATCAATCATATTTTAAGTTCCAATTTTTACTCTTTTTCCCTTAAATCATCAACCCACAAATTTAAGACTTTTTGGGAAAAAAGATGCCATCTCTTTCAAAAAAAGTGGGCTAATTAACAGCCTAAAATTACAGATTCTAGGCCTATAAAGCACAACTTACATATCCCAATATAGGAAAACCGTACATTTACAAATAGCGACAATAAAAAAATCGCATACTTTTCCGATTTATTTTTCTGTGTATCATCAAGTGGGGATCATTGACTATTACTTTGAAAAATCTACTCAAGTATAACATTGTACTTACAATTTCTTTCTTATTTAGGCATTAAACCTTAAAAAAAAAAACTACCCACTTACAAGCAAGTTAAAGAACATATCAATGGAAACACTAAAGGAAAAAAAACAAACGAACATCTCATATTTAAAACATAACTCAGTGATCAAAGTTTCATACATAAATAACAGAAGAAAAATGTTATGAAGAAAGAGGCAAAGTGTTTGAAAGCTTTAAGCACTCGCTTTGGCATCTTTTGAGGCAAATATCATTCCAATTTGGGACTTGATGTTGGTTGACACAAACAGTTCTTGCACAAGCATCAGCACAAGCATCGAGTTCAGAGACACCACAAACAGTGACACATGTATCTGGATTTGGATCTTTTGAGAATGCACCAACTTTTTTCAACATTCTTTTTGAAGTGCATACCCTTTCACATACAAATATATCATCAGAACTTTTTTCACGACCTCGAGCACTCTTCAATCTTTGCTCTTCTGCTCTTCTGTTCTTCATTCTTAAAGCTTGACCTGCCACCAATGCAGGAACTGCTGCCCCCACCAAAGATATCCACCAATCTACCATTTCTTCCTGAAAAATTACTACATTCTAACATTTTCATCACAACTTGCTCAATACAACAAAATCCTACAAGATCAAAACTTTTTTCCGTAGTCAAAATGAGAAGAAACTTAACAGAAATTGGAACTAGAATAAACCCTATTTCCAACTCTTTACGTGATTTTGAACAACTCAATCCAAAACAAAATATTTCAAACATAACACTGGAATTTCAGGTGAAACTAGTTTTCAAGTAGCTGTATAGAAAACTGAAACCATGGAGTCATCATATAAACCCTACCAAAATCTCCCAGTCGAATCGAATTTATGATTACTGTAAAATCAGACTGGTTCTTTGAGTGAATAACTCAAAACGCACAAAAAATCATCAGCATTAAGAATCATTATACAGTACCTTCGTTATAGTGTGAGTAGATAGCTAGGGTTTGGGTCGATTTCTCCGGCGTCCTTTATTTGTCAACTAATTGGAATGTTAAAGTTGCACCCTTATGATTTACTCATGATGTTTTCTACGGTATGAAGTTTCGGAATTAACATTTTAACCCCTAACTTTCTTGTGCTGTTATTAGGAATGGCAACGGGACGGGTCATGATTTCCCAAACCCGAACCCGATTTCTAAATGTGTCCCCGACCCCGACCTGATACCCGACGGGTTTCTTATCGGACCCAAAAACCCGAAACCCGACCCTAAACCTGATAAATACCCGCAATGTGGCAGAAAAAATTAGGTTTCAACAATTCTAAATAAGAACATCAAAAATCAGTTTCAAGAGTACAAAAATCAGCTTAGGTTTCAACCAATGTAATATCAAATTCAACAATTCTACACAGATTAGGTTTCAACAGCACAAACATCAGCTTCACAGTTCAAATAAGCACAAATTCTACATAAGAACATCAAAAATCAGTTTCAAGAGTACAAATTAGCAAAAAGTCAGATTCAAACAGTTCACATAAGCTCAAATCCGAAATCAGAAAATCAGAAATCGATTTCAAGAGTACAAATTAGCACAACATCAGATTAACAGTACAAACAAGCTCAAATTCGAAATCAGATCAATAAGAAAACAGAAATCAGTTTCAACAATGTATTTGAAGGGTGAAATGTCAACTAGTGGCGTCGATTAAAGAAGAGAAGAGAAATCAGATCAACCTGTTATCAATTTCAAGAAAGAATGAAATCAGAGGTCCAATTTCGAGTTTGATGTTGATATATTACCTGCGATTTTTTCTTGTGCTTGGCGTCGATCGAAGAGAAGAAGAGCTGTGCGTCGATTGATTAAAGAAGAGAAGGGTCACAGGTCGCTGCTTGCTGGACGCTGCTTGCTAGACAATGGTCACTGGTCGCAATAGCTTCCTATTGATCGACGATGGTGTACTCGATTAGTTGACTTCGATGAAAATGAATGATGAA